TGGATTGTTATCCATCTGAACACCTTAATTTTTTCTTTTGAGATAAAAGAGACTACATCAAGAGGAAAAAAAAAACTAAATGTTAATTTTGGAAGGAACAGGAGATCTCCAGAACTTATTGGCCTTGTAAAGTGGGTTTGTGCTTAGTTTTGGAAATGAGATCTTAAAAAAAAAAAAAAAAGATTTGCATGTAAAAATGCTTGAAGGTTTCAAAGTCCATATCCTAGTGTCTGGTTGGGTATTTAGTTGAATCAGTTCTGAGAGATTTTCAAGATTTGCCATGTTAGAAGCCTCCCTATCAGAAAGGTTACAAGTGAAGTGGAAATTCCAGGTAATACTGTCTTCATTGTTCAAATTGAATTATGAGACAGGGGTATCATGTGTAGGGGAAATGTTGAGTAGGCGTGGGAACTAAATGACTGACAATTGATTACCCACCCAAGTCTTTCCAGAATTTGGCTCTACAGCCATCTCCTAAGTAGATACTGGTAAGAGGGGCGAAGGATGTGTAAGCTTGAGAAATGACTTTCTAAGGACTTTGATGAGAAGTGGTATAGAAGTAATGGCACCCTATCTGCATTCCCCTTGGTGCTTTTGATCACCTTGTGCTGTAGGGATTCAATTCCTGAGGGAAGCGCCAAAGTCACTTAGCCAATTATTATAAGTTATTGGATTTGAGAGTTCCTAGACCTAACCCTCCAGAGGTTCTTGGTTAGCAACATGTTTCCCAGTTCACTAAGCGTTCCCTTTTGTCCTCTCTAGCCCCTGTCCATAGAAAATCTCTCATCCAGTTCTCTAATATCTCAGCCACTCCTATAGGAATTATAGAAATGAACAAAAAGTACAACAGTATACTAGTGAGATAAGACTGAATCAAGGTAACCCTTCCTTCTAGTGAAAAAGCCCCCATTTCCAATTCTCTAGAAACTTGGCCCACTTTCCTATCTACCTCTCCCAAAATTCTCGGTTATTAGGGTTGCCCCCTAGAGGAACTCCAAGGTAAGTCATGGGCCAATCTAGTCTATTACACTCTATTCACCTCACTAGGTAATCCTGATCCTCTCCCTCCACATTCACCCCAACTAAGGGGCTTTTTGCCATATTGATCTTTTTTTTTTTTTGGATAAAAGAAGAATATAGTAAGATCAAGAGAAGAAAGTATATAAGGGAAAGAGCGGGGGAGTTGAATTTGGTGAAAGGAGTGGAGGTTGGGAAGGGAAGGGATAAGATGAATGTGTCTCATTTATTCTTTGCGGATGATGCCTTAATCTTTTGTGAACCTAGTGTTAGTACCATTCTTCACTTGAGATGCTTATTACTCTGTTTCCAAATGGTTTCCGACCTAAAAATCAATTTGAATAAGATGGAAATGGTTCTGATTGGTGATAGAAGGGAGGAAGCTAGCTTGGCCAGGATTTTGGGTTGCAAAGTCACTAGTTTGCCTATCAAGTACCTTGGTCTCCCACTTGGAGCAAAATATAAAGATGTTAGAACATGAAAATCTATTATTGACATGTTTGGTAAGAGGTTAGTGGATTGAAAGAGAAATTTTCTTTCTAAAGCGGGGAGACTCACTTTGATTAAGAGCACACTTGTTAACTTACAATCTACTATCTGTCCATTTTAACAATTCCGGCCAGCATAGTTGGAAGACTTGAAAACATTCAGTATAGATTCTTTTGCAGTGATGAGGATGGTAACAAAAAGTATCATTTGGTTAGATGGGAGGAGGTTGAAAAACCATTTTGGGACGGAGGCCTCGGTTTGAAGTCTATTCTGGAGTTAAATCGGACTTTTCATGGGAAATGACTTTGGAGATCTCTTGAGGAGAAGGGGAAATTGTGGTGGAAGGTAGTTCGAGCTAGATGGGATGATTGGGAGAGGGAGAGTGGGAGAAGGGTTAAATTTTAAGGCTCACGAGATGAGCTTTTGGAGAAAGATCAGGGATGACAGCCAATATATCAAGGGCTCTGTGGGTTGGAAAGTTGGTAGGGGTGATGGGGCTAGGTTCTGGCATGATGAATGGATGGGGAACCCCCCCCTAAAAAATAAATTCAAAAGAATTTTTGACATTGCTTGTAATAAGGATGCTAAGTTGGAGGAGATGTATGAGTTTATGGGGGAGGATAGGGTGTGGGATGTGAAGGTGAAGAGATTACATGATTGGAAAATTGATGAGTACAACAGCTTGCTTTTGTCTCTGACAGAAGCAAATTTGAACACAGAAAATGATAAAAGAATATGAAAGCCTGATGAGAAGAAAGGCTTCTCGGTGAAATCTTTATACAGCTATTTGACAAAAAAGGACAACAGCTGCAACATGCCTGCTCCATATAAACAAATATGGAAATCTAAAGTTCCTCCTAGAATAGCTATTTTCACATGGGAGGCAGCTAATGAATGTATTTTGATCCTAGATATGCTCAAAAGGAAGGGGAATGTGCTGGTTAATAGATGCTATTTATGTCGTGCTGCTGAGGAATTGTGCAACCACCTATTATTATTTTGCCCAGTGACTTACAGCATTTGGACCGCTATTTTAGGCTGTTAGGGTTAAATTGGGTCATGATTAGGTGTGTGAGGAATGAGCTGTGGGCGTGGGTGGGTATTTGTTAAAAGAAACATCAATTGCTCCTTATTCCCACTTACAATTCTTTGGATAGTGTGGAAGGAAAGGAATGGTAGAGTTTTTGAGGGTATAGAGACTTATTTTACAACAATTAGGGATAGATGGATTTATACTTTTGGATCTATTTTGTTGGGTCGTGACATTACAGACATGTGGGACTTTGGTGTTGTCGTAGACCACCTAATTGATATGTAACTAGTTTGTATTTAGACGGTACCCTCTTGATACCTTGTGCATTCACTTTTATTTCAAAAAAAAAAAAGAGAAGAAAATATAAAAGAGGAGAATGAGACATCATTTGAAAGAAAAGAATACCGAATAATGAACCCAACAATATACTAAAAGAAAATAACAAAAAAGAAAAATAGTCACGGGAAGAAACTAGCTGTAATGAATAATGAATAAAGAAGTTCAAATTGTGTTGAAGATCAGAAATGCTAATTTTCTGGTAGTGTCCATTCTCTTTTGTTCACAAGGACATCAAGAAGATCACCCTATCTAACAACTCGGAGTATTGAGTACTCTTGTTATTGAAGATGCTTGAGTTACGAGCAAGCCAAATGCACCATAGTCCAGCAAAGAATACACCCCTTCCACAAAGGCTTGGCATCTTTCCTCAGGCCATGACCATTCAAATAAGTGGAAAAGAAGTTTTCCACTATAGGGGCCAACACCTAGACAACACCAAACAACTTGAACACATCTATCCATAAACTCCAAGCCACATTGCAGTGAAGGAACTAATGGTCATGTGTTTCACCACACTTATAGCTTCTTTTTTTTTTTGAAATAAAAGAAGAGAATATTTATTAATGTGATGTGTTAAGAGAGCACCACCCGTTTACAAAAAATTTACATGTCAATTAGCATATTTACAATAAAACTTAGATTTTCAAAACATTTTAGATTATGCTCTAAAATAGTAGAGTCAAAATAATGAAATCATTTATTTTTGATGTTATTAAAATCTTGTTCAAGCCCCTCAAAAGCTCTGTTGTTTCTCTCCTTCCAAATAACCCAGAAAATGGTAAGAGGGATTAATCTAAGTATTTTGTTACTACTCAGACTTTCTTATGTCAGAAGTTCGGATAACAGAATTTGTCATTACCCAAA